ATTCTTACTCACACCTACTGAACACACCCATCTATGTTAAATCTTTAAGTCTTACCCTGTTTAAAGTGCAAATTCTAAGAAATTATGGCTGATTCTGAAATAACGATAGTTTAGGATCTTAATATAAATTAGCTATGTATACTCTATAAGATAAAAGTCAAGATAATCACACTGACAAAATCTCTTTTGATAAGTTGTTTTAGGGAAAGCTGAATGTATGTATATATTTTTAAAGAATGGACTTTTCAAAGACAGTCTATAAATTGAGGCCCTGTGTATGAATGAATGCAAGAACTATCTCACCAATGTAAAGAACAGATTTGTATAAGAATGAAAGAAATAATGAAGAAAAGACATTTGTTTTTAGAATTTTTGCAAAAGAATACAGGTGTTTTGAACAATAAGGATTAGCTTATGCAAAAATTTCTGGTTTGGAAGTTCAAAAAGAAAGGAGGTAGAGAACTATGTTGAAAGCTTAGGCAGTTATATCTAATGTCTCCCTACAAAGACAGTATAATAGACTCCTAGGTAATACCACCCAAAAAGAAGGGAATAGAGTAGTCTAAGCATTCTCTGTCAGTATTAGCTCTCTAACCAATCAATAGCCCTTCCCTAGGAATTCAAGAAGAGTCAGGAACTCAAAGCATAGTAGGCCAAGTTTGTCCTTGGCCTGCTAAGGAGAAAGTTTCACTTTCTCCTCCTGACATACGAAAATAATACAGAAGTCAGAGTCCAACCTTATAAAATAAAATTTCAAAATATATTAGGTTTAATCCAGCATTTCTCAAACTATATCCCACAGAGCATTAATGTCAAACAAAATATTGATACAATATAATATACGTGTGTGTATGTATATGTGTTTGTATATATGTGTGTATGTGTATTCCAAGTATGTGTGTATACATATTACAAATGTGAAAAATACTAGATAAGACAAAGTTTAAAAAAGGTCCTAATAAGGACATAGAATATGGCCTTTTCCCAAACTTAGTTGAACAAATTTATTTCACAGAAGACCTTTGGGGAAGATACCGTATTTCACAGAACAAAATTTAGAAAATGCTGATCTAACTCATTGGTGAATCCCATTTATACCACTATCATATATATCCTTCTATAGAAAACTATGTTAAATACTGAGGAACCACCCTGAAGTCCCCCAGAAACCACATTTTCTTCTATAATTTTTTAGGAGTGGACACGTTCACATAGTGTTACTCAATGGAAGGCCTACTCCGGCGCTTACTGGTATGGGACCTTGCACAAATTACTTAACTGCTTTGAGCCTTAGATTCTTCATCTATTAAAAGGAGATAATAATTAGTACCTACCTCAAAGTACAGTTTAAGCAATACAATGAATGCATACACGGTGCAAAACAATGCCAAGTACTCAGGGTAGGTGCTCAAAAATAGTCTTAACCTGTGTTATAATCTCTGTTATTGAATAAGGACAATTTAAAACTGTATCCCACAAGCCAGCAACAAAGCAACTCACCTAAAAGCTTAAGGTCCCTCAGGTTGTACTTGGAGCCTTCACCTAACTTCGTGTGTGTCTGTGTAAACTCAACTGTATGTAATTGGAACTGGAGCTCTATCCCTGGTAATTATCCACATTCAACCTGACATAAGCAGTCTGCAGAAACTTCAGAAGATTTGGTAAAGGCCTGATAAAACAAGATCTTTGATATAAGAAAACTTGACAGAGTCTGATGATTGATAAACCAGGATCAAGGAAGAATGGGGTCATGTTTATAGTTTTGACCTAATTGAAATATTTTTATTACCAAGGTCATAATAGCTCATACTTATTTAGTCATTTTTATCTGTGGATCTCAAACTTTTCCACATCCTGAGAAAAGAATATACTCTAAAGTTAAAATATACTGTTCATATTTCTCTTCTAATATTTTGTTACCCACTGCCTTCATCATCTCTCCCAAAAGACCTCCTTTCCTAACACTGGTTGTTATTGGTTATAACTCTGAACTATTTCTGATTTTAATAGCTTCTTTTGTATCACATAGGTTTGATAAATTAAATATTGTATTTATATCATAAACAAATAGAAAATCAAGTTTGTTGGTTGTTGTTTTTTTTTAACTTTGGAGACAACTCTCAAAAAATGATTTTTTGAAAAGTTTACAAGGTCTTTTGTTCACCCAATCTATTGAAAGAGAACTTCTACAAAAAATTGACTTTTTAAAAAAGATAAAGAGAACTAAGCTACTCAAAAATATATCAAAAGGATTAAAATAGGCATCTAATAAAGCTCAAGCCAAACAAAGCCATTTAACCTGTGGCACATCCCTCAATATTTCTGGGCCCAGTGTTCTTAATTGTGGACTGGAGAAAATGAACTAGTCCCTAGATGACATCTTTGGTTCCTTCCAGTCCCATGATCTGGAAAGAATGACATCCCCCCCCCCTTTTTTAACTCTAGTTGTACTTCTGAGCCTAGTAAACTTCACTGTCAGGTGGAAGATAAAATAAAACAAGTTCAAGAATTTCTATAGAATAACTTTTGAAGCAGGAGGAGTGTCACCTACTCAGAGAAACGGAACTGAGTGCCCTATCACTTTGAGGCAGAGGGGAAGGCTGATGGTGGTGGCAGATGTTTAACACCTGTGATGCTTCTTGGTAACGAATACATTAGAATAAACTCACTTTCACTCAGCCCAGTCACCTAGGATGACCTTGAGGGAACGGAACACAAGGCAGGTAAGTCTTTATAAGGGAGGAGTGATAGAAGAGAGGTGGCTTGGTCAAGTCCCTAAGCATGGGATACCGCCAGCAGAGGAATGAGTATCAGAGTAGAAGGCTGGAGAAAAAGTTTCCCCGGAAGCCTGGGGGCCAGCATGCTAGAGGGTGACATGAACAGTTATTGAATGTGAGTGCTCAAAGGACCTCGGAGAGCATTTGCTTCCCAAAAGCCTTTTCAATATCAAAATGTGCCATGAATTACAGCCAATACACACACCCACACGCTCCTGCTCTCTCACATGTGAAACTTATTGTGTATTTAGTACCTGTTGCTTCTTTAAAAAAAATACTAGAATCAGAAATACTTTAAAACAAGTATATATTTAATGACTTTACTGCCTCCATGAATATTTGAAAAACAATAATATATGTATCTGATACAAAGAGATGTCATTTTGCTTTAACAGGCGAAGATATGACCGTACATTATTTAGACACATTAACATGCAAGTGGTAATGGAATTGGCAGAGACCAGTTAGTATGTAGTACAAGTAACACCCATCTTAAACAGTGACCTTTATGTGTAGATCAATGTTAAAACTTCCTCATGACTGCCTGCCTCAGGGTTCCCTCTTTCATAGTCATCCTGGAACCACTCCCTGCTTATGTTGGGAAAAGTGACCTTCAATAGCTCTCCATCGTCTGTATAATTTGGCCCAAACTTTTTAGTATGGACTAAAACCTTTCCCCCCACAATGCCTCAGCCACACTCACCTTCTAGCCACACATCAGCCTCTCAGCAATTTAAGCACTTTTGAGCTTTTTCTTTTGTACCTTGTGCCTACTTTTCCATCAGAACTTTCCACCCCTTTTCCCCCTTTCACCTGAGCTGGTTTCTTCCCCGTGCCCTTTTGACTGGAGTTGACAACCTGAAAACTGATTTACATTTCTATGCCCCATTGTACTATGTCCTCTAAGGCTAAACCAAGTCTGGCTCATCTTTATACCCTGACCTAAGACTGTGCTTATAGAATAATGGGTGCTTGGTAAGTATCTATTAAACAAATGGATAAACGAATGATAGGAAATAACTGGATAAAAGTATACTCAGAGTCTAAAGATAGGCCAAAAAAGTCCTACGTAGAATTAGTAATACAATGGTATTTCATTGATAAAACTGAGTCTCATAGTTAAACCATCATTAAAAACAATCTTACACGGAAAAACAACTACAACGTGTGTCTGCTAAGACGGATTATGTTGTTTTGGAATTAGGAAGGGAATGTGCAGTCTGCGTTTTCCTTTCCGACTGTTTTTTTTTGTTTTGTTTTTCAAACTGGCGTCTCCAGCTCTGCAGCCCAGCCTGTGGAACCTAAGTGGCCCAGGTCCCAGGGGTTCCCATCAGAGCCAGGGCTTCCCCCGGTTCAGGAGGGCTCCCCACGGGCCCAGGCTGCCGGGGAGCGAGCGCAGCTCCAGCCGGAGCCACCTCTGGGCCTGGGGCGGCCAGGACGACCCAAGAGGGGCCCCCACCGCCCCGGTAGTCGGGCTCTCGAGTTTTTCCTCTCTAAACATTGAATGGGTCGTTTTCCTTTGCTTCTGCTTCTGACTTGATTAAAGAGGAGAAAAAAGGAGTTTGACTACAAGGAGCATAATAGTAGCAGAAGGCGCATCTGGCTTCACTTTTTAAATTCCATCAAAGTTTGTGTTTTGTTGTTGTTTTCCTTCATTTGACAGCGATCCCGTGAACTTCTCCTCGGGGGAAATGGCGCGTCCAAAGCCCGCCAAGCCCAGCCTGCGAACTTTAGGATTCATGAGAGTAGTATTTTAAAGCAAACCTCGACAGACACAAACTCAGAAGGAAACCGTGCGCTCAAGTCAAAGGCGCCTGTTCGCGCAGCAGCGCTCGGCGTGCTGTTTGCAACCAGCGTCAAGAGCAGGATTTTTAAACGTGAACATGCATACAAGGAAAGCAAAGCCGAGTCCCGCGGCCCTCCGACTCCTATTCATTATCTCCGGCGGCATGTGGGACCATTTTCCCACTCGTCCTCGCCCTTTCTTCCGCGGCAGCAAAAGCAACCAAGCCTGCCCCGCTTCATGGCAAGCCCACTCTTTGTGCCCGAGCGGTGCCACCGCCGCCACTTCCTCCTCCTCCCGCCGCCTCCTCCCGCTCGCCGCCGGCTTTCGCTCGGGCTGGGAGGCGGCGGGCTCCCTTTGCGCCGGGAAGCCGGCGCCGCGATTGGGCGACGGTCCCTGAGCCTCCAGCCCTGCGTCGGTTTCGAGGCTCCTCCCTCCTGGTGAAAGACAGACTGCGGGGCGCCTGGAAACCGGTCCGAGGGCGCGCGAGGGAGAGGAGAGGGAGCGAGTTGAGGGATTGACACAAATGGTCAGGCGGCGGCGGCGGAGGCGGAGGCGCAGGGGGGAGCCGAGGCCGCTGGGCTGCGGGGAGTTGCGCGCTCTACGGGGCCGCGGCCACTAGCGCGGCGCCGCCAGCCGGGAGCCAGCGAGCCGAGGGCCAGGAAGGCGGGACACGACCCCGGCGCGCCCGAGCCGCCCGGGCTCTCCCCGCCGCCCGCACTTCATGAATCGCAAGTTTCCGCGGCGGCGGCGGCTGCGGGACTCAGAGCGGGAGCCGGGGGAGCGGGCCGAGCGCGGCTGGCGCTCGACGGAGGGCACCGGCGCAGAGATCTCCCTGGCCGCGGGGGGAGCCGCCGCCGGTAGTGCCCCTGCCAGCCCCGGCGGAGCGCGGCCAAGAAAGGAGCCGAGAAAGTATGGCTGAGGAGGAGGTGCCTAAGAAGTCTCGGGCCGCCGGCGGCGGCGCGGGCTGGGAACTTTGTGCCGGGGCGCTCCGGGCCGGGCTGGCGGAGGAGGGGAGCGGGGACGCGGGCAGCCGCCGCCGCGCCCCGGCCGACCCCCGGCGGTTGGCGCGCCAGCTGCTGCTGCTGCTTTGGCTGCTGGAGGCTCCGCTGCTGCTGGGGGTCCGGGCGCAGGCGGCGGGCCAGGGGCCAGGCCAGGGGCCCGGGCCGGGGCAGCAACCGCCGCCGCCGCCGCCTCAGCAGCAGCAGAGCAGGCAGCAGTACAACGGCGAGCGGGGCATCTCCATCCCGGACCATGGCTATTGCCAGCCCATCTCCATCCCGCTGTGCACGGACATCGCGTACAACCAGACCATCATGCCCAACCTGCTGGGCCACACGAACCAGGAGGACGCGGGCCTCGAGGTGCACCAGTTCTACCCGCTGGTGAAAGTGCAGTGCTCCGCAGAGCTCAAGTTCTTCCTGTGCTCCATGTACGCGCCGGTGTGCACCGTGCTGGAGCAGGCGCTGCCGCCCTGCCGCTCCCTGTGCGAGCGCGCGCGCCAGGGCTGCGAGGCGCTCATGAACAAGTTCGGCTTCCAGTGGCCAGACACGCTCAAGTGCGAGAAGTTCCCGGTGCACGGCGCCGGCGAGCTGTGCGTGGGCCAGAACACGTCCGACAAGGGCACCCCGACGCCCTCGCTGCTACCAGAGTTTTGGACCAGCAACCCCCAGCACGGCGGAGGGCACCGCGGCGTCTTCCCGGGGGGCGCCAGCGCGTCGGAGCGAGGCAAGTTCTCCTGTCCGCGCGCCCTCAAGGTGCCCTCCTACCTCAACTACCACTTCCTGGGAGAGAAGGACTGTGGCGCGCCCTGCGAGCCGACCAAGGTGTACGGGCTCATGTACTTCGGGCCTGAGGAGCTGCGCTTCTCGCGCACCTGGATTGGCATCTGGTCCGTGCTGTGCTGCGCCTCCACGCTCTTCACTGTGCTCACGTATCTAGTGGACATGCGGCGCTTCAGCTACCCCGAGCGGCCCATCATCTTCCTGTCCGGCTGCTACACGGCCGTGGCCGTGGCCTACATCGCCGGCTTCCTGCTGGAGGACCGGGTCGTGTGTAACGACAAGTTCGCCGAGGACGGGGCGCGCACGGTGGCACAGGGCACCAAGAAGGAGGGCTGCACCATCCTCTTCATGATGCTCTACTTCTTCAGCATGGCCAGCTCCATCTGGTGGGTGATCCTGTCTCTCACCTGGTTCCTGGCTGCCGGCATGAAGTGGGGCCACGAGGCCATCGAGGCCAACTCGCAGTATTTTCACCTGGCCGCCTGGGCTGTACCGGCCATCAAGACCATCACCATCCTGGCGCTGGGCCAGGTGGATGGCGATGTGCTGAGCGGGGTGTGCTTCGTGGGACTCAACAACGTGGACGCGCTGCGTGGCTTCGTGCTGGCGCCGCTCTTCGTGTACCTGTTCATCGGCACGTCCTTTCTGCTGGCCGGTTTCGTGTCGCTCTTCCGCATCCGCACCATCATGAAGCACGATGGCACCAAGACCGAGAAGCTGGAGAAGCTCATGGTGCGCATCGGCGTCTTCAGTGTGCTTTACACCGTGCCAGCCACCATCGTCATTGCCTGCTACTTCTACGAGCAGGCCTTCCGGGACCAGTGGGAACGCAGCTGGGTGGCCCAGAGCTGCAAGAGCTACGCCATCCCCTGCCCTCACCTCCAGGCGGGCGGGGGCGCCCCGCCGCACCCGCCCATGAGCCCCGACTTCACGGTCTTCATGATCAAGTACCTTATGACGCTGATCGTGGGCATCACGTCGGGCTTCTGGATCTGGTCGGGCAAGACTCTCAACTCCTGGAGGAAGTTCTACACTAGGCTCACCAATAGCAAACAGGGGGAGACCACCGTCTGAGACCTGGGGCTCAGCTCGTTCCCAGCCCTCGCCCGAGTCCCGGCCACCCCCCAAAAGCCAGCGCGGTGGAGACCATGCTAAGCCTGGCTGCCCGAGGCGTCCTCGCTAGACCTAGCTCACCTTCGCGGGCTCGGTTTAACAACACAGCTCCTGCAAAAGCTTCCGTCCCTAAGGCAAACTAGGGCCCGACTGCCAGAGGGGGGATGGACCGACCTCTTGCCCTCACACTCTGGTACCTGGACTGTACGCTTTTATGATTGTAAATAGCCTGTGTAAGATTTTTGTAAGTATATTTGTATTTAAATGATCCATCACGCCTTTTTCTTTAATTTTTTTTAATTATTTAGTGCGGTTTAATAACCATTTGAGGATTTTCCTTCTTGCCCTTTTCGGAGCACTGCAGAGGAGATGAAACCGGAGCACACCGGCCAAGAGCTCTTGCTCCTCGTCCTCCCGCGCCCCGCGCCCCTCCCTGCGGCGCCTGCTCTGGCCTGCCAGGGCGTCAGCTCCGGGGCCAGGTCGGCGACACTGCGGGGTGCGACTCGGGCTGTGCGGCCGGGCCACCTCCCGCCTCCTCCTTTTGCCCCCTCCCTTTCTTTCTTTGCTTGGGGTAGGGGCTCTTAAGGTACAGAACTCCACAGAGCTTCCAAATCTGGAGGTTGGCCCCTGCCCATTCCTCCCTTGTTCAGCGGCAGATTGCAAAGGCCTGTCCCTTTGACTTCCTCAAGCTGAATTTTAACTGTTGAGAACCTTTTCCCCAAATTCCTGGGGGCCCACGGGTGTGGGCGCTGGCAGTTACAGCTTCCCTCCACGCTGGCCCCCAAAGTGCAGACACTCCCTCCTTCCACCTAAGTGGTTAGAGGGTGAATGGGATAACCATTGCCAAACTTTTTAAAGTCTAATTTTTGGTGAATGAGCTCATTTCGTTCTCTAGTGTCTAAAACCTGGTATGGGTTTGGCCAGCCAGCGTCATGGAAAGATGTGGTTACAGAGATTTGGGAAGAGGCACGAAGCTTTGTGTGGGTTAGGAGAGACTGAAGATAGGGGTTGTAAAATGTTAATTCTAATTGCAAACTGATGCCTGGCAACCTGCCTTTAGGAATGAGACAACCCCAGTTTAGATTTTACCCTTCTGTGAAATGGAAACGTTGAGGTCACCTGGAAAGTTTTGTTAAGGAGTTGATCTTTGCTTTTCTTAACAGGACAGCAGAACTAAATAGAAATTGAAAACTTAAAGGAGATTTCAGTGTAATGGACTTCCTCAAAATGAAATGCTATTTTCTTATTTTTAATCAAATAATAATCAGACATATATCAGAAGCTTTAAAATGGAAAAGTTATACACTTTCAACATTTTATTTTGATTGTTATTCACCAACACGTTCTGAGGGAGGAACAATCCACACGACAGCTAATAACCTGGTAAGATTTCAGGAGGTAAAGGTGGTGTAGTAATTGATGGGGTTAACTCCTGAAATAAACAAAATATGGGCATGCATGCCAAAGGGAAAATGTGTGCAGGTCTACTGCATTAAATCCTGTGTGCTCCTTTTTTGAATTTACAGAAATGTGTCAAATGTAAATCTTTCAAAGCCATTTAAAAATATTCACTTTAGTTCTCTGTGAAGAAGAGGGGATAAGCGATCCTCCTGATTGTATTGTTTTGAACTTTGAGAGTTTATCAAAATGCCAGTACTTAGGACCTAAATTTATCTATGTCTGTCATACCCTACAATGACATTGGTCTTTGAATTTGGTATGCATTTATTCTGTTCACTATCACAAAATCATCTATATTTATAGAGGAATAGAAGTTTATATATATATATATAATACCATATTTTTAATTTCGGAAATAAAAAATCAAAGTTTTGTACAAAATTATATGTTTTTTGTGCCTGAACATAATAGAGCTTGAACTCTCTGAACTATCTTTACATTTTATGGTGTTTCATAGCCAGTTCCATAGTATAAACATTCAGGAATTCAATGAAGAAGTCTACCCTTAAACCTTCAGACCAGTCCTTCCAAAGAATTACTCTATTTGCATTGGTGTGATTGACATTTGTGAAGTCCCAAGAAAATACCTGTTTTCCTCACAGTACAAAATACAAGTTAGCAACTTATTTCTTTACTCAAAGAGGAATATTAAAAGAGAACTCTAATTTTAATATTAAAGCTTTTTTTTTCTTTCAAAGGGTAAATTTACATGACTTTTTATAATATAGAGGTTTATTTTTAAACCATCACCCTTTTTCACAATTTTTGTGAGCTATTATCTTATCTTTTCCATAATCTTGGATATTACAAAACCATAAATAGACAATAAATGGGTAACTATGTGTTTATAAGCATTTTGAACAGCAATAGGGTTTATAAGGCTGTTTTGTGTTTGCTTGTGAAGAATACATTTTGTATTATTATTCAAGGGACTTTCTCCAGAGAAATTACCTAGTTGGTCTACTCTGAGTTAGAATTTCTATGTGTGTGTATATGCATGTGTATATTTAGAAAAGCATACGCACATTAATTTTTATAGAGATGCAAAATATACCTATACATTTCATAATATGGAAATATGGTTATGAGAAATGGAAAATGCTAGACGGAAAGCCTCAAATATCTTTACAGATTAAAAATATCTTTACTAAATTTTCCCATGAAAATATTTTGTGATAATTTGGCAAGGGACTAAAATGAAGATCATAAATACAATAGAGTTAGTTTCATGGTTTTAAGGCAATGGTCTTATAAATTATCATTATTCATTTTAAGGCAAATGAAAAAAATTAAATCTTATTGAAAATCTAGTGTTTGATTTTAAGTAGCAAGATGCAGTTTTGAGTTCCTTTATTCTTTGTTATATTAATGTAATATAGAGGATACCTGAGAAGGTTTTATTGTAGAGGCACAAAAAAATAGTAATTCTTAGGCCAAATTAAAACATGTCTCCTCACTAGGTAATTGAATTAGATAATTTCCAGGGAAAAAATGTTTTTAAGATTATTAGTCTCTATCCAAGGAATGAATGTTAAAGCAGTTGTATTGTGGGTGTCCTTAAGATGATGTAACTATAAATTTGATGCAGAAAGGTTTTATATGCTGGGTTTAAATAGTTTTAGAAGATATTTTTAAGTCACCAGCAGATTTTGTTTTTAGAAAACAATTTGTTTAAAATAATGTAGCATATAGAAAACCAGTGTTTTCTTTTGTTTCTTTCAATACTGGTGGCAAAATAGGACTTCCCTAGAAAACCATAAAGCTACTGGGGAGTTGTCCCATTAGCATGCTGTTTCCATGTCAAACCCTATTTTCAGATGACTTGATTTGCCTATTGTTTTTTTAGCCCACAATCAATCGGTTGGGGTCAATTTTCCCCCTCACAGTGTGTTTCATTTAGCTTTTAGAGTAAATATATAAGTAGTATGAAAGCTTCCCAACACTCTTTAAAAACACACACAAAACACAATTTTTCACTTAGACTTTGTGGGGACAGAGTCATATTTTTCTCAGAGCCAGGCAGTGTCAAACAGATGCAGTAGAGCTGGGCCAGATTTTTCAGCTTGTCCTCTGGTAGTCACTTGTCACTTGTCTGCCTGAGTTTACTGTCCTGCTCTTTTTGTCTCCACTGTAAGTATGGAAGCCTTCTGCTGTAGTTGCATCATTCCTGAAATCCAGCATTTAACTTGGAAAGGAAGACACAGTGAAGTGTTGGTGTCCAATTAAGAAAAAAACTGACTAAATCACAGACCATTTCAGGACTTGGGTGGCTTCGGATTGCTTTCCCTGATAGCATGTTTCCATCTTGTTACACATATTTTTAAGGTGCCATATTTGCTGTGTGTGTGTTTGTGTCCATCTTCAGCTACTCTTGCTTCTATTGCTTTCTAATCCATCTATTGGCTTAGGCTATATTTTATATAATGCACATGCAATTAATTGAAACCAGTGATATGACATTGGATATCCCTGGTACATTTCTGATTATATATACTATTCTGTGTAACTGGGGCCTAAGAGATTAGAAACAAAATGTGGTCATTACATAGAGGTGGACACTAATGATATTGTCACTGAATACTTTCCAGAATACACTAATATCAAGGTCTTACAGGATTAATCTGTAGGAGCCAAAATAAGACATTGACTATATATAAGAATACTCTTGTTACATGACTAAAAAGAGATTGCAATACTATCTTAAAGACTATTATTTTAAAGTCCTTACATTTGAAATGAGATCTTACGAGGGAAGTGCCAAACAAGATAAAGTTTATTTTGATGACTCCCAAGATGTATATCTATATTTTGAACTTTTGGCCAATGCCAATTTCTCTTAAAATTTGAAAAACAGTACTTGAGTTTCAACCCTGACTGAGAATTCTCTTAAACTTTTCGAGCTTAAATATTTTTATCCACTTTGGTTATACCTTTGACAATGGATATATTAAACCATAACACTTAGAGTGACAAAACACCTTGCTTAGAACCTGGCATAAAACACAAATAATCTCTAGACTCATTTTTCTAAGTTTTATCATGATTTGTGTTGACAAGTTGTCTCTAGTACATGACAGAATCAAGTTACTATTCAAATAAAATTCTTTGGGGATTTTCGTTTATAGGTTGGTTTGGGACCATAATAATGAGTCAAACAAAAGGATTTCTCTGAAAAATCTTTCTCATGTAATGCAATGGATAAGCTCAAGTACAATTTATAAGTACATCTTACAATGAACATATAATAAATATTCTGTGGGTCATAATCAGTTTTATGAGTCAAGCAGATTCTTAAACTGCTTGAAAAAATAAGATAACCATTTTTCTAATTGAGATTTGTTTAAATAAATCTTTTTATTTTAAAATGGTAGTATTCTAAGAGGTATATTTTTGAATGATACATTTCAAATAACACTGCATTTTCTGGAGGTATTATTAATATACAAGTTGAATTGTATAACTAATCATTCTAAAAGCAAATTATCAGAATAGCATTGATTTACACATTTTACACACTTTTTTTTAAAAGATGAAAGCAACTTACTTGAAAACAATTTTTAAGTTTTAAAATTTATAATATTTATATTTTATATAAATATCTCAAGAAATTTCATTCATACTATAAAGTTTCAAAACATGTTCATGGCAATATAGTGATTAACATAAAAAGGAACCACTATTGCTGCTTTGATACAGTTCTCTATGGCCTGGATTACTTTTCTTTCCTTTTTAAAAACCAAGTATCCTGTAATTTATGGATATCTCCATGTTTCATATCTCAATACCTGTTTGAATTAAATTTACAGGGAAATAACTGCAGGATCCCCCCATAGAAAAAGTGTGGCCTTTATTTCCTTTCAAGTTGGCAGGATGTCCTTGCTTAAATGAGGCACTCTGAGACAGACTGTTCTCTTGCCCTTGAAAATGCTTGTCTTCACAATTGCAGCAGCAAATACCTGGAAGTCATACAGGCTGGTTAGATGCATAGTACAAATACCATATGTTACTTGATCATTACAAGGATTTTTGTTTTCTTAAAAAGTAGATTTAGGGAATATTCTTCACCTTGTATTTCCAACTCTTGGAAAATATTTTAAAAAGTTAACCTCAACAAATATTAATACTTAGTCAAAAACTCAAAACTCCTTGGATAGATTGGCCAACTATCCAGTTTTGCCTAGGACTGAGGGGTTTCTTGGGATGTGAGACTTTCAGTGGCAAAACCAGGAAAAATCCTGAGCACACTGGGTGGTCGGTAACCCTAGTCCATGGATTAAATTGTGCTCCCACAAAATAGGGTAAAATCTTATATGTTGGGCACTGGTCCAGCATTAAAAGTACTCCACTGAGGCTATAGCATTTTTTTTTTTTTTTACTACCTGATGAAAAGCCAATGAACATAGTAACTGGTCTTTACAGTGAGTACCAATCAATAGAAGCCGTGTGGTACATGAAGATACAATGCAACAAACCACATTGAATATCTTGGCCATTCTGCCTTCAGGTTTTGCCTCCTGAAGAAATCTGGCATAGACACAGGGATCTAACCAGCCACTGAACCCTCATAAGATCAGGTTAAATTGCTATCTTTAGAAAAGATTCTCAAAAATATTCTCTTGGAATGAATAGTTTTTAATGGATGTTAAAATTTATCAGATTGTTAGGAACAATTAGGTTTTGCATATGTTTATATTTATTTTATTTTCCTGTATAATAATGCAGTCCATTGAAATGAGATTACAAACACAAGCAGAAATTGCCCCAAATGGCTATACATCAACATGATTTATTTGTCATACTTTTTCTCAGAGGTAAGTAGAGTTAGCACTCATACTTTTCCCAAAATGAAAAGTTGTATCTACAAGAACGAAGAACAAGTAAACTAGATCTTAAAATTATATTGTGATTATTGGGAGGCCAAGGCAGGAGGATCGCTTGAGGCCAGGAGTTTGAGACCACTCTGAGCAAGAGCAAAACCCTGTCTTCATAAAAAACAGAAAAATTAGCCTGGTGTGGTGGCGTGGTGGTGCCCACCTGTAATCCCAGCTACTCAGGAGACTGAGGCAGGAGGATTGCTTGAGCCCGGGAGCTTGTGATTACATCGAGCTATGATGATATGACAGCACTCTAGCCCAGGTGACAGCACTCTAGCCCAGGATCAAAAAAAAAAATTTTTTTTTAATTTAATACTGTGATTATTTAAAATTGTAGAATGCACTGTGTGGATCATGCAATCCATGACCTTTACATTTCTATATGAAACTCTTCAATCATAATTAGTCTACCCCTTTTTTGAGTTCAACATCATCTTTCTTATAAATGCATTTAAAATTGCAGTGCCCTTTATTGTTGAAATCACAACATTATCCATGCTATGTCTT